GGAGAGGGGCAGGGGCGGCATGGGTGCAGGAGAAACCGCAAGGAGTGCCAGACGCCCTCACTGGGGAGGGGCCCTGTAAAGGGCCAGGATGGCCTTGTGCCCCTTTCAGTCTCCTGCCCCCTGAGCCTCTTTTGGTTTCTCCCTTACACTCCACCTAGAACATTCTCGCCCCACCCCTTTGCCCCATATCCACCCACTGAGCCTGGCTGACTCCTGCTCAACCTTCCAGCTTCAGATTCAATGTCAGTGTGAGACTGAATAAAACCCAGTGGAAATGGATGTTATTCAATGACTACTGCTGGTGGGAAGACCAGGGCTGTTCCCCTTTGCACAGAAGTGACCGGGCGTTTCAAAGGGACAGAGTGAGCCTGGGCCCAGGAGGGTCAGAGAAGTGAAAAGTGGCCAAGGTTGGGGCAGTGCACCTGCGATGGGGCCTCTGCACGGCCAGCTGGCAGCCAGGGAAGTGGGGCTCTATCCTGCCTTGAGCCTGGGAGACACAGGTCCCACCTCCCAACGTTTACATGTCAAAGACGGGGCTCCAAGGCCCCTGAGAAAGACACAGCTGAGCTGTCGGAGGTACATATACATCTCAAAGGGTCCGCAGAAGGATTTACAATTGTAAACCCTTTTATTTTATATACATATTTATTGATTTCAGAGAGGAAAGGGGAAAGAGAGAGAGAGAGAGAGAGAGAGAAAGAGAGAACATCAATGATGAGAGAGAATCTTTGATCAGCTGCCTCTTGCACGTCCCCTACTGGGGATTGAGCCCACAACCTGAGCCTGTGCCCTTGGCTGGAATAGAATCTAGGACCCTTCAGTCTGCAGGCCGATGCTCTATCCACTGAGCCAAACAGGCCAGGGTGTAAACCCTTTATAGTAAAAGCCCCGGGGAAGGGATGTGGGGGAGGGGGGAGATGGGGTGCTATGAGAACAAAGGGTCTCTATCTGGCAGCCTAGAGGGCTGGGGTCGCCCGCAGGACACAGCCTTAGGCTGCTTGAAGCCCTGCTAGTTTGGTGGCCTCCCTGTGCAGGGGTTTGGACGAAGTCGTTAGTTTTCAGCGGGCCCCTTTTCCCCACCCCTCGCGCTGAGCTGGGCTCTGCAGGCGTTGGGTACTTCCTGGCGTGACTGGTCACATTTGTGTAACCACTTATTTTACTCATCTCTTCTGACAGAAAACTGTTGTGGCCAGAGGCTGTTTGTCCTGTGCTGTTATGTGGCCAGTGCCAGGCCAGGGGGGTAAAAAGTTAACAACCACTGAATGAATGAGTGAATGAATGAATGAATGAATGAATGAGTCACAAGTAAGGAGCATCTAGGTTCTAGGACAAGGAAGATGTAAGCAGGATGCTGGGGGAGGGGAGGGAAAGTGCTGACCACATGGCCTGGGAGCCTGCTACACGCTCCCTGGAACCGGAGGACAGGGCTCATGCTGTCCCAGGTGATGCACAGGTGATGGTTTGAGGGACGTGGAGCTGCAGGTGGTTATGCTCTGCCTGAACTCACACATCACGGGCTGGGCTGCTCCGTGCCTGGGAGTCCAAGTGGAGACCAGAGACCACGGAGGCTGGAATTCCAGGCCCTCCTGTTATCTCCCCCCGACCCCCGGCTGGCACATTGTTCCTCCCAACAAGCATCCAGACTCCGTGGAAGGTTCAGGATTGGTGAGGGAATGAGCTCTCAGAGGGAACTCCTCGCAGTGACAGACTGGCCTCCACGGAGAGCAGATCTTTGGAAAAGTGAAAAACGCCGATGGTGCCCATCTCCGCCCACTGGAGGTGGTGGGCAAGGATGGGTGAAGGACATCCCCTTCTTGCCGTCCCTGGGATTGTGCAGGGAAAGCTGGTCCAAGTAATTAAGGGAAGTCACTGGGGGTCAGATGGTCACGAGCGGCAGTCACTCAGCAGTCACAGATGCCAAGGCTGGCGGTGCCAAGGAGAGGACACGGGGTGGGCAGAGGACTCAGAAAGGCGAGGGGCTGCTGCACTGCCCAGCAGGACAGATGGGCTTGCTCTCGGGGCTCTCAGATGAAAGGCAGGCTATGAAGTCTGGGGGTTTGCATCCCTAATCAGCAGCCCACACTGGGGCCGAGGGGAGGCTTCTGAGCCACAACAAAATTGGGCAACTGCTGAGGAGGACACACCAGAAGTGGTTCCTGGCATCACAGCCCTGGGCTCAGAACTGTGCCCCTCCAAGTGAAGAGGCATTTTCCTTTAATGCATTCCCTGCATCTTGTAAATCCTTCCCTGCTTGTATCTTCTCACTTTACGTGTGGCTTTCAAGTCCTTGGAAAGGGTAAAAATTTTCCATCTACTCATCCATCCATCCATCCATCCACCCACTCACCTGCTCATGTACCCACCATTTATCCATCCATCCATTCACCTACCTACCCATCCATCCACCCACTCACCTACTCACTCATCAATCCACCCACCCACCATCCATGAGCCCATCCATCCATCCATCCATCCACCCACCCTCTTCATTTATCCACTTCACAATATTATTTTTTTAAGAGGTGAAGCTTATATTTACTGAGAGACTTCACAATATTTATCAGGCTCCGGCCAAGCCCACACCAGGACTAGGCTCTGGGAATACAGGATAAACATGACAGGCATGGGCCTCACTCTCATAGCGTGCCATCTACAGAGGGGGAGACATACACAAGCAAGCCAGCGACACCCAGGAAGCCCACACAGTCCTGAGTGCTGTGAAGAGCATGACACAGGTGACGACGCATGAGAGGGTGGCAGGTGAGGGTCTCTTCCGCTGGGATGAGCAGGGCAGACCTCTGAGAAGGTGACCTTTGAACTGAGACCTGACTGACAAGAAGCAGCAACGATCTAGGGGAAGAGCATTCCCGGTGGAGGGGACAGCAGGTCAGGGCCCTGCATGGGAAACTGAAGTAGTGCCCAGGGGCTGAAGGGCGTGAGTACTGGGGACAGATACGGAGGGGGACCACTCACGGCACATCACACAGCCCACGGGCCGGCCAGGTGAGCAGCACACCCAGCTCCACTGCCCTCCGAATGCGCAGAAAGGGAATCCTCTGCTGTCTCCTGGAGTGTTTTATTACTCTGCTATTTTTTAAAAAATATATTTTTATTGATTTTAGAGAGGAAGGGAGAGGAAGGGAGAGATAGAAACTTAATGATGAGAAAGAATCATTGATTAGCTGCCTCCTGCATGCCCACAACTGGGGATTGAGCCTGCAACTGGGGCATGTACCCTGACTTGGAATTGAACTGTGACCTCCTGGTTCATAGGTTAACGCTCAACCATTGAGCCACACAGGCCAGGCACTGCTAGTTTAATACTCCAGTGACCCCACTCCCAAACACCATGAGAGCCATTTCAGTGGTTGTGGGTCCACCACAGCACGTTGGCCTGCATGGACCTCAGCCTGGACTCCACCTTGCTGCCTCCTTCCCTTGACCTTCTGTCTGTAGGGAGGGAGGCCACGTGGTGTGACCCTCTGTGGAAGGGGAAGTTTATGTGCTCTGTTCATGTGATAATGGGGGTTGTAACAAGTGAGTGTTGAGACAGTTAAGGGCTCCTGTCTGCCAGGCCTGGTCAAGGGATGGTATTCAGCAATGGTGGCCCACTGGCCCTCACTTCATGTGCATCCTGTCCAGAGGGTATCTCTGGGGGCAAAGGATTCCATGGGGATTCAGGGGATGGAGGAGACGTCATGGTTCCAGCTTAGAGCTCCACAGAGCGCATGTCCCACCCCTGCGTTTGTCACCCTCCCAGGCAGCTCAGAAGGGTATGTGGAGCCCACAGCTCCCCAAGTCTCAGCAGAATTCTGCAGCCTCCCCATCAATGAGGAAGGACTGAACTGCTGAATGGCTTCTATGCCCACTTCCTTTCCTGTTCCCCCTGAACCTCATTGGTGTGGAAGGTGGCCGGTTGCCATGGTTGCAGCAGGTGGCAGCCCTGCCCCAGGGGCTGTTAGTGTTTGTTACCAAGCATAATCTGCACATCCAGACTGATACACAATATGAACTACCTACAAAGTCAAGTTGCTGCCATGATTTTATTGCATCCTGGCGGGTGAGTGAGGCTGAAAGGAAGGTCACCCTGCAAGGTCACCTCCAGGAATGGCAGCTTGGAATTAAACACCTGGGCAGGGCAGGGCAGGGATGGTTTGGGAAGGGCAGGCCAAGAGCCCCAGCGGGGTGGGCAGAGGCCACACTGTCCAGGGTCAGGGTGAACCCCAGCAGATACAATGGATGCTTGTGTCTTCATATTGTGTATCAGTCGGGATGTGCAGATTATGCTTGGTAACAAACACAGCCCCTAGGGCAGGGCTGCCACCTGCTGCAGCCATGGCAACCAGCCAGCTTCTACACCGATGAGGCTCAGGGGGAACAGGAAAGGAAGTGGGCATAGAAGCCTTTCAGCAGTGGTGGGTGCCAGTTCAAACTGACTTAAAGCCCAAGAGAGACTCCATCCCCAGAAATACAGGCCCCTCTGAACAGTACCAGTCTGAACTATATGGGTCCACAAATATGTGGATTTTTTCAATAAATATATAGTCAGCCCTCTGTATCCCCAGGTTTTGCATCTGTGGATTCAACCCACCACAAAACTGGACCAAACTGGCTCAGTGGTTGAGCGCTGACCTATGAACCAGGTGGCCACCATTCAATTCCCCGTCAGGGTATATCCCCAGGTTGCGGGGGATAGAAAGACAGATAGGTAGGTAGGTAGGTAGGTAGGTAGATAGGATATACCTATCTCCTGCTGGTTTTGTTTCTCTAGAGAACCCTCACTAGTACACCCCACTGCCCACTCTTGAGTGGCTTCTACCAGTTACTCTGCCACAGGCCTCATTTATTTCCTTCATGGCACCCATCACTACTTGCAATTTCAGTTTTGCTTACCTGTTTATGTTCCACCCATAGTAATACGAGGCCCACGCGGCAGGGGCCTGTCTTACTCAATGCCTGGCGCTTAGCAAACACTCAGGAGACGGAAAGGAGCAATGGAGGAGTCACGTAAGGAGTGTATTGTGAGAAATAATGGAGGCGTGATGCCCAGAAACATCCCAGAGCTTCTCGTGAGCCCCCCCTGTCAGTCCCCACAAGGCCCGGAGCTGCTAATGCGTGTCGCCTCGCATTACCCCGCTGGGCCCATGACACTGCTGGTGTCGTGCTACCTCAGAACCAAAACGCTGCATTCCCCGCGCTGGGAATCACTGCCTGCCACGGCCTGGGCTCCAAAAACACATCACACACAGCCTGAGGCCGCGGGGGGAGGGTTTCAGAGGCCGAGTCCCAGTTCGTTCGTTTCATGTCTTTACCATTTTGTGGGTCCGATGCCTCCTGCTCTCTGAAGCCTGGCCTCTGGGAAGGTTTCTGCGCAAATTCTGGAGCTGGCAAGTCTGGAGCAGTGCCAGCAGGGGGAACGCTGGGGAGCGACTCAGGGACAGGTCTGGGGACGAGGAGGGGAAACAACGCCAGAGGGAAGAGTGACTCTGAGCAGAGCCCATCAGGACTGTTCAAAGCGACTGTCCTTGCTCCGTGGGTCGCTGCCTCACGGGGATAAGGATCAAGGTTTGGTTTCTGTCCACAAAAGTTTTCCCAACCAAAATGGAACAACAAACACACTCCGGCCAGTTCTTGGCTTTCTCCTCAGTGCCATGTTAGCCAAACGGGGTAGAGGGACCTAAACCCCGACCCCCACTGTCTGAGCAGCCGCCTCCTGGGAGGAAGGAGGTGCATCATGGCGGCCCAGGCCAAGCCAGAGCCGTGGATGTCACAAAGTCATCGTTGTGGGCAAGCACTGCACGTCTCGTGTCCCCTGGGCTGGATTCCCACCAGCGGCTGTGAAGCCCGACTCCATCATCTCCTGACGCACACCCCACGCTGAGCGGCAGCCCCTCCTCCAGGAAGCCTTCCTGAGCTCCTTGAGCTGTGGATTCTATGCTCTGAGGTCGGAGGTCCCACCCGGTGCGCCCCCGGGTCCCAGGTGTGGAACAGGCACCATTCTGGGCGGCTCAGGGCACTGACCGTGTGGGTCTCAGCATTTCCCTCTCTCCTCCAAGGGGAGCCACGAGCATGGGTTCTGGAAAGCGAGGAACGGGAGGGGTGGCTCAGTCGTCCTCATCCTCGTCCTCCTCCTCGGCGTCCTTGTTGGGGGTGCACCTCTGGAAGCACTGCACCACGGTGGCCAGGAAGAAGCTGGAGATGATGGCGGCGATGGACACGGCCACGCCCGAGAAGATGATGATGAACAGGTCTGTGAGCGAGAGGCTGAACCTGCACTCGCTGAAGCTGGCCTCCGACAGCTGGCGCAGGAACACCCTCCTGTTCTCGGGGGGCAGGGAGCACTGGATTTCATCGAGGCCTGGAAGGGGTGGGCAGGATGAGAGACAGGTTTAGGCTCTAGCATGGGAATGCCTAAAAGTTGGCAAGGCCAGTGCTTGCAAAGTGCAAAGCAGAAGCAGCCCCCCCAAAAACAAAAGGGGGAGAAGTTGATTGGAATGGAATTTGAGCCTTTTTAAAAGCCCCCTGTAACTACGATGGGAGACATGTTTTTAAAATATATATATGTATTTTTATTGATTTCAGAGAGGAAGAGAGAGGGAGAAAGAGATAAACACATCAATGATGAAAGAGAATCATTGATTGGCTGCCGACTGCACGCCCCCCACTGGGGATGGAGCCCACAACCAGACAAGTGTCCTAACCATGACCTTCTGGTTCATAGGTCAATGCTCAACCACTGGGCAACACCGGCCTGACTATGGCATCTTCTGATTTTGAGTCACTCAGGATGGTGATAGGAAGGCAGCATAAACTTTTAGGGTTTAGGGCCTCTGTAGACCCTAATCCAGACCTGGTAATACCCAGCCCCTGGAAGGGGGGATGGAGGGCGGGGCAGATGCCGTGGGATGGGGGCCACTAGTGTGTGTTACCAAGCATAATCTGCACATCCCGACTGATACACAATATGAACTACATATAAAGTATAGATTTCAGATACAAAAAAAATGCATGACATTAAAATGCATAAAGAACTCATATCTTCTGTTTCTTACGTGGAAGAAGAGAAAAACAAAATAGTAGTAACTCACCCTCCTATTGCACTTGCGAAGTACAAACACTGTTCTAAGTGCTACATACATATTAACTTCTGATTAGCACCACCACCTTCTGAGGTAGGCACTGTTATTATGCCAACTATGGAGGAGAAAACTGAGTGTATAGAGCTTGCTGTGTCAGCAACACAGCTTCTCAGAGATGTAAGAACACCATGTGTCATTAAGCACAACTGCTGCGATCTCTGCTTACCTCTGGCTTCCTTTCAACCCTCGGGAAAATCTTCCATTGCTTGCTTTTTCAGCGCTTCCTGGATTCAAAAGCTGACCCTCAACCCATCTCCAGCATTACCTGAAAGTCGAGATGATTTCTTCACATCACGCTAATTAACTGGTTTCTGTCTTGCAAAGAGTGGCCCCGCTAACTGCACAGCAAACCTGCAACTACCCTTTGGGGTCTTTATTTACATACTAGAGGCCGGTGCACAAAATTTATGCATGGGTAGGGTCCATAGGCCTGGCTGGCCATCAGGGCCGATCTGTGGGAGTGACCAATGGGGCAAATGGGGCGCCCCCTGCTGGCACCGCCTTGGCTGGCCTGGGGCCTGCAGGCTGGGGGAAGCTCTTGCATTGAGCGTCTTCCCCCTGGTGGTCAATGCGTGTCATAGCAACGGTCATTCCATTGGTCATTCTGCAGCTCAGTCAATTTGCATATTAGGTTTTTATTATATAGGCTAGTTCCTTCTCCAAATCAGAAACAGAAGAGGAATGAAGAGTGGCTGAGATTCCTCCTTTCTTCTGTTCTGGCCCATCTTTTATGTGTCAATAGCCAATCTATGATGCTCTCCTCCCCATGGGAACCATTGCCTAGCAACCAGACTCACAGTCCCTCCTCCCAGACTCAGTTCCTACCTTCTATACCCAAGGAATTAACTGGACCAGAGCTCTTCAGGTTTCTCCAGCTTCCACTTGACTACAACTTATGACTGTGTCCTTTTTTTGAAGAAGCCAAACTTTTGTTTACTTCTTTTGAGCATTTTAAATGCCTTTGGACAGAACAGGAGAGCTTTAAGACAGTGTTTTATTGGGATTTCCTTGTGGACACTTTTCTTCAATGGAAAAGTGGGAAAATCGATTGATCTGCCTCCTCTTTTCTTTTTAAGGCATATATATATATTTTTTTTTTTTTATTTTATTTTATTTTATTTTTTTTTAAAAGGAAGGCAGACTGCCACGTGCAGCGCCTCATTTGGATGTGTCTGGAGTCTTGGAAGCTTGACTACCCTACGTTCTCCTACAAATGGACCTTGAGAGCTTGTTTGGAGGTTCTAGCAGGGGAGCGCAGCTACTCGTATACCCTTGACCGAAGACCGGTCCTCTCCTCGGGGGGGAAGGTCGTCCTCTTCGACCGAGCGCGCAGCTTCGGGAGGGACGCACATGGATCGGTGAGGGAGGAGGGGGACACCCGCCTAGCCAGCCAGATCAGCCGAATCAACCCTGGCGATCAATGGGGTGACAGATGTCGCAGCCAGATCGCCCTCACATCCATTAAGGCATATATTTTTTAATTGATTATTTTAGAGAGAGAGAAGAAGGGAGGGAGAGAGAAACATCAATGTGAGAGAAAAACATTGATTGGTTACCTCCCGTATGAGCCCCAAGCGGGGACCAAACCCACAACCTTTTGGTATACAGGACGATGCTCCAACCAACTGAGCCACCTATCCAGGGCTTGACCCACCTCCTCTTAACATCCCCCCATCCCCAGCCAAAGGTGTTATGAAAATAAACAATACGGACACCAATAAGCGGTATGGAGCACAGGCAGTTTCTAAAGCCAAGATAACATTTGCCAAGATAACATTCAAGCCGTAAGAGGTCATCATTACCTAGAGAAACGCTGTATAATTCCTTGTTCAATGAGCTGCATTCGCGGGAAAGCAACCACAACAAAACACCACCAGCTACAGAGCCCGCCCCGACTCCTCACGCCAATCCTGCTTTCCCCAATGTTCTTTGTGCCTTGAGATTACTTTGGCATTTTTACAGAGTGACGCTTTGAGGAAATGCCACCTCACATTTCTCTGTGGCTAGAAGAGACAGACCTGTTTAAAAACCGCCACACATGAGCCCAGCCAGGGTGGGAGACTCCGGAACACACTCAAAGGCGCTTTCGCGATTAAGATCCACCGGCTTGATGGGTTTCCACAGCTCACAAAGGGCCGGGAAATAAGAAGAGTCGGACAAAGAGCCAGCTGGGCCTGCAGAGGGGGCAGAGCATCACTGCCAGGGCCTTTGAAAGATGCATTCCAGGCCAACTGCAGCCTTGGGAGATGGGGTACCCTGACTTTGGGGTTCCCTCTTCTCTCCTGCAGGATCCTACCTTAGTCCAGAATTTCTCAGCCTCAGCCCTACTGACAATTGGGACTGGATAACTCTATAATGTGGGGGCGGGCCTCTGCACTGAAGGGTGCTTATCATTGTCCCTGCCCTCTGCCTGCTAGAGGCCGGGAGCATGTCCCCTCCCATTGTGACAAGCAAAAATGTCTCCAGCCCAGCCGTCGTGGCTCAGTGGTTGAGTATCGACCTATGACCCAGGAGGCCACGGTGCAATTCCCAGTCAGGGCACATGCCCAGGTTGTGGGTTTGATCCCCAGTGTGGGGCGTGCAGGAGGCAGCCAATCAATGATTCTCTCTCATCATTGATGTTTCTCTCTCCCTCTCCCTTCCTCTCTGAAATCAATAAAAATATACTTTTTGGGGAAAAAACAACAACTGTCCAGACAGTGCCACATGTCCCCAGGAGGGGAGTGGGAGAGGAGACAGAATCCCCCCCACCCTCCCCTGCTCTAGGCCGAAATGCTCAGCTAAGTGGGTAACCTTCTAAGGCAGGGCTACTCTTAGTTACTAGACAGACATTTCATTATTAAACAGCTTTCTTTGATTCATGCATTAAACAAAATGGGTGAGGCTTCACGCTAGATACAAAAAAGGAAGAAAGAAAAAAGGAAGGAGGGAAAGGAGGAAGGAAGGAAAGAAGGGAGACAGGGAAGGTAGAAAAAAGGTAGAAAAAGAGGAGAGACTTAAGTCTAATGGGAGGGGCATCAGGACACAGGCACAAATGAGATATTTTTTTAAATATATATATTTTTTGTTAATCCTCACCCAAGGATATTTTTCCATTGAATTTTAGGGCAAGTGAAAGAGAGAGGGAAAGACAGAGAGAAACATCGATGTGAGAGAAACAGATTGATTGATTGCCTTCTGCACACACCCTGACCAGGGCCCGGGCTGGGGAGGAGCCTACAACCAAGGTACCTGCCCTTGACTGGAATTGAACCCAGGCCCTCTGGTTCTCAGGCCGATGCTCTATCCAATGAGCCAAACTGGCTAGGGCTATATTTTTATTGATTTCAGAGAGGAAGGGAAAGGGAGAGAGAGATAGAAACATCAATGAGGAGAGAGAATCATTGATCAGCTGTCCCCTGCATGCCCCACACAGGAATTTGAGCTCGCAACCCAGGCATGTGCCCTGACCAGGAATCAAACCACAACCTCCTGGTTCACAGGCCGATGCTCAACCACTGAGCCACACGGCCGGGCCACAAATGATATTTTAAGAGAGAAAATGAAAAGTTGCACTGCGGTCCAGGGACAGCCGGAGGAGTTGAGAAGTGAGAGCCAGGGCCTTGGGGGGAGGTGGGAAGGGGCAGAGGAAGGAAGCGTGGGGCCCATGGAGGAGAGGAGGTTGCTCTCTATGACCTTCCCTCCTGATCTGGAATGTTCTCTCACCATCTCCTCAGCGTCTCAGTCAACACTTACGTGGCATCCACGTGTGCCGGCCGCCAATCTTAGGGCCTTACACGCATTAGCCTATTTAATCTTAATGCCCATTCAATGAGGAGCCACTGTAATTGTCCCCATTTTATAGATGATGGGACTGAGCTGTCAAATGGCCTGTCCAGGAAATGACAGAGCCGAGACTGACCCCGGCCACCACACCGCCCCCCTCGTCTCAGAGGTCAGCCCCACCCAGTACCTCAGAACAAGTTCCCTCCAGACAGAGTGTCTTTCAGAAGGAGGCCCTGGAGCCCTCCTGCATCCCTCCTGCCCAGGCCCTGACCTGGACGGACCAGACCAGGAAGCTCAGGCTGCCAGCACAGCCTCTGGTCGCCCTTGTCAGGGGACGGGCTCCTGGCTGCTCCGAAATGGGCACATGGACGGACAGCACCAGGAACTCAGGTTTGGATTAAGAGACTAAAATTCGCAGCCAAGAGCCCCACTCAGGCTGCCCAATGCTTTCGTT